TTAATGTTATTAGTTATAATGTTACTAAGTTAATGTTATTAGTTATAATAACATTATAACTAATAACATTAACCTCATAACACTAAGTTAATGTCATTAGTTATAATGTTATGAGGTTATTGTTATTAGTTATAATGTTATAAAGTTAATGAAATTAGTTATAAAGTTAAGATAATGTTATAAGGTTAATTTTATTAGTTATAATGTTACTAAGTTAATGTTATTAGTTATAATGTTATGAGATTAATGTTATTAGTTATAATGTTATGAGGTTAATGTTATTAGTTATAATGTTATGAGGTTAATGTTATTACAAAAGAGTACAACACGTCAAAAAAGCATCCAGCAGATGGTAAAACGACACAGTTCATAAAAAAAATCTCATAAACGACGTCAAGTTCTATTTATATTCTTATCCTTAATTGTTCATATGAAATGCCGGAAATAAGCAAATACTCTGTTCATTATACTTATAAACTGGCATTTCGAACTCTCATAAAAAAAAAGACAGTATAATTACATATGCGGTTATTAGACTCGAATAATGTATTTCATTCGGTAATAAATTTCAGATGCTCATACTAGTAAAAATAAATTTTAAATTCCTCAGACCTGTATACTTCAAAACTTCAGAAAACTTTTGAATCCTCGAGTGCAGATGTTTCAGTCTGAAAACATCTGTTCCTTCCTTAAGCATTTAAATCTGTTTCTCTTATTTTGTCATACTCAGATAAGCGTTACCTCTGTAGATGTGCATAAAATAGAAGTCACCTGAAAGCTTTTTGTCAGAAAGTTGAAAATGTCAAAACGCACTTTCCATGATACTCCAATGCCATCTTCTATAATAATTTATGGTTTGTTTAAAGTTAAGAACATAGCTACACAATGGTCTATCTGTGCTCTGCCCACCACGGGTATCGAACCCCGGTTTCTGGCGTTGTAAGTCCGCAGACATACCGCTGTGCCACTGGGGGGGGGGGCAGTAATTTATAGAACCTATACGTTCTCGTATCTGTCATAGTATCAGTGAGTTTACTGACAATAAACGATTTTCAAAAGCTGTTTATGATTTATGTAGCCGCGCTTTGAGAAATTTAAAAGTTCTTTTTCTATGGTTCTTTCAGTTTTTGTAACATATCTGATTCTATCACGCGAAATTATTAATGGAGCTAACAAAATCAAATACTTTTTCCTTTTTTTTTACACATAGATAAGTTTTGTACAAAAGGAATAGTATAGCTGATGTTCAAAAGATTCGAAAGATCTTTGAAGTCTGAAATTCATAAAACATTGCTTGTCATATATATCAGAACAAAGAATATCATATTACAAGAGACACTTCCAAACATCTTACTAAATACATACGATATCATATTCCAAGGGAGGAGACACTTCCAGATATTTTACTAGATACATACGATATCATATTCCAAGGGAGGAGACATTTCCAAACATCTTACTAAATACATACGATATCATATTCCAAGGGAAGAGACACTTCCAAACATCTTACTAAATACATACGATATCATATTCCAAGGGAGGAGACACTTCCAAGCATCTTACTAAATACATACGATATCATATTCCAAAGGAGGAGACACTTCCAAGTATATTTTTGCTTTATGGGTAAAGCTTGAGGCTGCGGTCGATCCGGCATCGGTTGGTTGTCTTGTCTGGAAATCGTGAGTGTTAAAGTCCAAAAATAGTTTTATGGAAAATCGTTAATATTGTGAAAAATAAATACTTGGATGTAGAAAAATTTGTGAACACTTTTGGGTTTTTCCTAGAAAATTGTGTGAAACAAATAATCTATGGAAGTCATAAACAAGTATCAGTCGATTTGTAACAAAGATGATTTAACTGTCTTCGCTGTTGCTAGGTTACTGTATAAGGACAAGTACCATAAAGTGTTATCTATTACAGGACCAACTTTAACAAAGAAGAAAATGGAATAAAAGCGGGATGATAATTATAGATATTATCATGAATATGTTTATGGAATTAATTAATAAAAAAGTAAAAAATCCAAGACGAAAGAGTAAAAATAACAAGGAAAATAATTTATAGTATCCTAATGATGACTGACTATCTTCAACTAAAAATATACGTGGTCATGCCAGTCCTTCTCTAGGCTATGACTAATATACAATTATAACTTTATCCGTGTAGTTAAATATTAGGATTCTACTATTTCAAACAACTCTAATAATCGGTGAATATGTAGTCCCGTTTTCCAATTACAGAATCCGTTTTAAGCAGTGAATATGACAGAAGAATACGAACCCATTTAATCCTTACTGAGCAGTGTTTTAATTAAACTATAATGTAGCTTGTTTAGTATTTTAAATTATGTAGTATGTAATATCAGTAACTACGAAAAGCTCTTGCATAGCGCCCTCTTTCGAAAAATGTGAACAGTAAGCTACGTATAAAGATTTATTTTGTAATACATACATATAATTTTAATGCCATAGTGGTACACTAGATACGTTCGAAATCGCTGTCTTATCTGGAAACAAAATTTAAATCGTTTATGGGGTAATTTAAGGAACCCTGCATTAGTTATAATATATAATAAATCATTGTTTCCTTTTAAAAATACTTTTATTGCATTTACAAGTATCATGGAGGGAAGCAAAATCAAGACAAGTACCAATTCTCCATCATAGAACACACAAAACGTTATAAAAATAGTGTAGTGCAAAGTTCAATATTACAATGCAAACAAATAAGAAATCCATTTTAATATTCGATTCACCACTGAATTATATCGCTTTCAGGGAATTCCGTCCTTCATCAGTAATCCTGGACAAAGTATTCTTCTTATAGTGGTGGAGCATGTATTATATGTAGGTTGTTTTAGTTGTCGTTTACTCACCACAGGATGTGAAGACGTGGTGGAGCATGTATTATATGTAGGTTGTTTTAGTTGTCATTTACTCACCACAGGATGTGAAGACGTGATGGAGCATGTATTATATGTAGGTTGTTTTAGTTGTCATTTACTCACCACAGGATGTGAAGACGTGGTGGAGCATGTATTATGTGTAGGTTGTTTTAGTTGTCATTTACTCACCACAGGATGTGAAGACGTGGTGGAGCATGTATTATATGTAGGTTGTTTTAGTTGTCATTTACTCACAACAGGATGTGAAGACGTGGTGGAGCATGTATTATATGTAGGTTGTTTTAGTTGTCATTTACTCACCACAGGATGTGAAGACGTGGTGGAACATGTATTATATGTGGGTTGTTTTAGTTGTCATTTACTCACCACAGGATTTGAAGACTATGTAGAATTGATGCTATTAATGTATTCTTCTGAATTATTCAACATACCAGCAGTTTAAAGTACAAGAAATAAATCTGAAGCCCCATCTATCATTCGACTCACCACTTGTCACCGGATAATATCACACGAAATACTTTGTACTTAACTGTGTTTTAAAATTATCATAAGCTTATCCGCTAACGTCGAATTGTAAATTACTTCCATATTTTTTATGCGTTTCAAAATCAAAATTGAGACTTCGAACGACTTGGGTAATCTTTTTTATATCATTTTCTGATAATTATATTTTTCAGAAATATAAAAATTCAATTTAGTAAATGATTATTAATTGGATATAAATAAACTAGAAGTAGTAACGACAGGACTAGTTGATATTTTTTATCTTCGAATTGTGAAAGGTTGATTGTATGAGATTGGGTAATGTAATATAAACTAACTTGAACCTGTGGTGGAAAAAGTTGGTCGGTTGTTTTTAAGCACAAAACTCCATAATAGGCTCTCTTTGCTCTGCCCAAAACAAGTATCGAAATCCGAGTTTTGCACTGAAAAAAAAGAAGCGAGTGGTATCAGAATTAGCAATAGATTGTTGTTGTTGTTTGCAGTTAAGCACAAAGCTACACAATGGGCTATTTGTGCTCTGCCTACCACGGGTATCGAAACCCGGTTTCTAGGGTTGTAAGTCCGCAGACATACCGTTGTACCACTGGGAGGCCTTAGCACTAGAACTATAGTTGTGGACAATCTTCATAATTTTAATTTACTTTTTATGTGAACTGTTGAAAAATGATATGTAATACTCTTCACACAAGGTCTATAAAATTTTTTTCATTAATTTCAATTTTTCCACCTGAACTTTGATAGTCTAAACTTTAAATTCGTTTTTCCTTGTTGCCTTGTTTAATTTACTTTGAATGGTTGAAAAGTTACAAGTAATAAGAGCCTCGGTTTGTCCCTATATCGTTATGTACAGTAATGGTTTTGTCTATTAATATAAGTTAACAAGAACAACGTAATATTTATCATTTACTTAATACGTTCGTAGCAGCGTAGCATCGGGCTCTTTTATATTCTTTTCAGAAAAAAAATGGAACATAAACCTGAGAACATTCATAGATGGTAGCCATTTTTTTAGAATATTTTTCAAAATGCTTAAAGAAAGGAATCAGAGTAATTAAGTGGGAAAATATAACAAAATTAACACTGATAATACAAAATATCCCACTATTGACTTAAACAGATGACACTTTGGCATGCGCCATCTATGTTGCACCTCTTAGTTTTTATCAAACATTACTTTGATTCTATTCATAGAGGACATGTCCTCACTGACTCGCATTTCAAAGTCTGCACTTCTGTAATATCTCAGTTTGATATGACATTCAAGTTTACTGTTCTAGACTGACATAAAAGTCAAGTCTGAAAAATGTGGATCGTGAATTCTGAAAAGTCTGTCGTGAATAATGGCATTCTTAACAAATATATGTGTTATGTGTAGTTTGTCGAAGAAAGTTTCTAATTCTTAGAAATCTCTAGTTGGTTTAAGTTTCCCTTATAAGTGTTAAATGACACTTTAGTTCTTTATGATGATACTGTAATTTTGAAGGTGAGAAATTCCTTTTTGTTTCATCAAGTTTATTGTTGATGTTACGCTACTCTAACATCCATTTTATAAAACGAGTTTTTGTTCTTCAATATTTCTTTCTAGAACTTCAACATCTTTCGGGAGCAGCCGCAACATACCAATGTGTCTTCTGGTATCATAGCAACCGCTTCATCTGTGTCCGCATCTCAGTCTACTAGATCAACCATGGCGTCCAGTTCTTCGTCGAATAAAAACAGCGTAGAGCACGTCCATGTGCGGTTATCTCTTCCTGACGTGCACGTGTCAGAAGAATCGGTCTCTCCATCCCAGTCAAGCTATTCCTTACCTACCGTCAGGAGGCGCTCTCCGGTTGTAAGCAGAGCTCGCTCTGTAGATGCACGTGCCCAGCCATACTTGCCACGTTTGTCCATTTCAGATCGATCTGATAGCCAGCAGTCAGAGACAACTAACGAACCTCGTACTCCCATGTCCCCATATCACAGTTCTTTCTCACCGGTAACACTATCACCGTTTCCGGATAACTGTTTGCGACCTTCATCCCCTACTCACGGCGGACGATCACGGTCTCTGTCTCCAGTGTCGCCGTTATTGTCCCCAGCTTATGTTCAGGGCACAGATTCACCTAACAACACTGGACCTGCGAGCCCAATAGGTACTACTCATTTAAGTGAATATTATGGTGTTATGCACGCGATTAGCAACTAACGGGTGTAAAAACATGATTCATTGCTTTTATCTTTAACTCAGACCGATATATATTGTAATTATATGTGCATTATGACTATTTCATCAGTTTAAATCAGGGGTGGGCAAAATACGGCTCGTCTAACATTTCTGTCCTGCCCGTCATGTTTCCCGGCAATTGTGGAAAGAACATAATGAGGTCTTTATACAACTGATATAACTTATAGACGAGGAAATTTAATTGATATAGCAGAAATGTACGGCCCGCGACGACTTACTAAAATTCGTGGGGTGGCCCTCCCTTCGAAAAAATAATTCCCACCTCTGGTTTAAACAGACGTGAACTAATATTTGTTTAAGGAATAACAACCAAGTTTGAAGGAAATAAAAGTGATTAAACCTTTTTTTTGATCAGGCTACCTCTAACTGGGATTTTTATTTGTTTGTCCCAGATTATTCATTCCGTTATATATAATCTCCAGCACACAATGAACTTATGATAAAATCAACTTATCAATAGGTATGTGGAAAAGTTATAATAAAACAAAAATAAGACATTTAAAAGTTTCCTAAGTAAAAAAAAAAAGTGAACAGTAACATTATATACCAACTGATTAACGCCCCTAACTGCTTCTTTCTCTGGCACCAAACAAGGCATTCTTATTTGAAAGTGTTATCCATACTTGCATGTATTGCTAAGTATTACACGCCACATTTATCGTGTGCAAAATTTCAACATAAGACTCTAAAGTGAATCGTTAGGTAATTTTGTTTTTATTCTAGGAATATAGTTTAAAAGAAGTAGGGCTAAAACGTTGATCATTTGTCGCTCGCATGTTTATTTGATTGGTTCAGAATTTTCGTGTAAAGCTACACAAAGGACTATCATCAACATTCACCAGCCACCTTTGGGTCACTCTTGTCTGACCAAAAATTAGTATTTAATCGATATACTTATAGCACACGCATAACCCCATAAGTACAGATCACATTTTTACGTCAACGAGTCGCAAACCTTGAAAATTCGAGGACTTTAACCACTAGGCCACGCTCTGACCCGTTCTCACTTGCATATCGATATAGCACACTAGAGCTCTATGTATAATTTAACACTTGAGTTGGCGTAAATCTAAACTAACTCAGACTGCAACATACATTTCCGCCTTACATCGTTATTATGTTAAAAATACTTTGCTTTAGAAACTAATAAAGGTGTGATTATGAAAGGTCATTTGCTTTCTTATTACCAGTGTAATCTTACAATATTAGTGGTAATCCAGTGTAATCTTACAATATTAATGGTAACCCATCTAACACTTGTCCTGTCATAATGTAGGAAATAGCAGGAAAATGATTTTACATTTTCAAAGTTTCTTGAAAGATGGGTAAACCCCCAGATGCTATCTCCAGAGAATGACCAAGGAACAAAGGCAGCTAGAAGGAAATCAATTTGACGACTTTTTTTGTTACGGGTTATGTGAAAATTGCACATACACACACACATAGAAAATAACCGATAAATTTCTAATGTAAAAAATGTGGTGAACGCATCATATGCTTATATACCACACTGGGGAGGTTTGAACACTCTGTTATTGCACTTGATCCATCACAGTGAAAATACCACGAAAGTGATAACCTAATAAAGGTATAACTTTCTGACTTATTTAGAAATAAGAAGTATTATTTCCATGGATATATTAACGTTACTGAGTTTAAGTGTACATCACGTGATTTATTTCACCTCCAGGAGCCATCCAACCTGACTTATATAAGAAGAAGGACACGGTTTTCTTTCAGTCCTCGGACAGCCAGGACAAAGATAAGTGTGGTCGACTCCATTTACGACTAAAGTACGATTTCAACCGATCGGACCTTGTCGTCCACGTTATTGAAGGTTGGTTCTAAGTATTACTAATCTGTACTTGTCGATGACGCCAAGTATTTTCTATGGCTGTGACGAAGTAGAGATTCTAATGCCATCTATTGATAAGAAAAATACTTACGACTTATATTTACAGATCTGCTACATGTAGTAACATCAACAAATTTACCCAACTTTGGATATTTTTTTCTCATTGTTCTCAAAGTTATAAAGCATATAGTTAATTCGGGAAAGGGTGAGTACTTGGTATTACAGGAAAAATTATCATAAGAAAAGTATGTTTTAATAAAAAAGTAAACTTATGTTTATTCTTTAAATTGCACACTTTATAAGTGTGTTAGAAGCATTGGATTGTTACAAATACTTTCTTGTAGCGTGAAAAGATACACATACGTTTTTACTCATTTTAGTATTTTAGTACGTAAGAAACAGTAATGTTTAATGTATTTAATTCAGTTATTTCTCATACACTTGGATAATAAATTAGGAATTATCCTTAGAATCACTGACAATTGACTTTAATTCATTTTTTCTAAACTGTATGTATGTATGTTTTTGAATTATGCAAAAGCTACACAATGGGCTATCTGTCCTCTGCCCACCACGGGTATCGAAACCCGGTTTCTAGCGTTGTAAGTCCGTAGACATACCGCTGTGCTACTGGAGGGCTTTTCTAAACTATTTATACACCAAATCACTTGTGTTTCCATGACTTTGGTGGATAAGGAATTTTTCATATTTGAGTCAAATATTTCAGTTAATCTCGATAATTCCCGTCTTTCGAATAAGCATCTTAATTCGCTAAATAACGTGTGAAACTACGAGATTTGACAAAATTTGGGGCTACATTGTTTCACGTCTACTTCAATGCATGATTAATTTGTGGTCATTATTTTCTAAACTGTTCGTAAAACTAGCTGCATAATAAACAAAATAGTAACAGACCATTTCACAGAAGAATGGTTTTTGGCTCTCGGCTTCGAAAAGTGAAAGAAATTTAAGCGGGATCCTTGATTTTTACAACAGAAAATTGAAAACGTATCTGACTTTGGCAAAGATAGAATAGATGCTCACAAGTCACTGAAACTATACAATTACTTTTAGGAAGAGTACGTGCTAAAAGTTTTCCAAAGGGTGACAGGTAGTGACAGAGAAAATTATTCTGTTCAGGTGGAGGTGATGGCATCCATGTCTCAGCGAACAAATAAACAAAATAATATTAAAAGAACACTTCATCGTGTACAGCAATTAGTGAAAAAAACCACAGTAAACGGAACAAATTGTCAGAAGTCTGATATCAGATAAACTAGTTTCGACACATTCGTGCGTCCTCTTCAGTCTCACGTTGTCTTCTGGACGCACGAATGCGTCGAAACTAGTTTCTCTGATATCAGACTCCTGGCAGTTTTTTTTCACTAAACAAACAAAACATTTGTTTGCCTTGACCACAGTCAAAATGTGATGGGTATGGTACTTGAATGTGTTGCAGATTATGTTGACTAGGCATCATACTAAATTTTGTTTTTATATCTCGATTGTTATCTGTTCATTATTTTGTTGAAGTAAATTTGTTGATTAAGATATTTTATAAATAATTATCTATGCCACGGTTTACCTGCCACTATAGAACCAGTCTTGCTTGACAAGAACATTCGTAGATTTCAATCCAACCAATACTTTGAGACAAACTACAATATTGAATTCACAACTGCTTGCTGACATACTGTATGTAAATAATTTGAAATGAGCACTAAGACACCAAACTACTTCCCAGCATTTTGTTAAATCTAAGCCATGTGAAGTATAAAACATAATCGAAACGAAAAGCAGGGAATCCTCATGAAATGGCCTGTTTATTGTATTATAAGTTTGGTCTACAATCAGGGTATGCAATGTTAACTATAAAATGCTTTCTAGTTAGTAGAAATTTAACTGTTTAAAACCAAATGGTTGTTTTAAATAAATAAAAGTAATGCAATGTAAAACTTGTACTGGTTAAATTGCACCATTTTTCAGCTGATTAACATTTAACTCCTACTTCAATAGCCATAAGATAGCTTCCAAGCTCAGTCAAACATTTAAGTCTTTTCCCCTTCTTATAGGTTATAAATGAGACACTTCTTTCTTATCCACTCTAGCCCCCACGTGGCACAGCGGTATGTCTGCGGACTTACAACGTTAAAAACCGGGTTTCGATACCTGTGGTGGGCAGAGCACAGATAGCCCATTGTGTAGCTTTGTGC